TAGTGTTTTTTAATCTGTGACCCTATGTTTTAAATGTTTTTTATTAATTCTTCAGTATTATTATTAGTGTATTGTATCTATATATATTTTTTCTCCTTAATTTACTCATTGATTGTTGTTGTTGTTAAGCACTTTGATAACAGGTCCTGTTTTAAATGTGCTCTATAAATAAAGTTGACTTGACTTGACCTGTGTGTGAACTATGTATACAGACACGCTAGCTAAAAAGCTACTGAGATATCGCTCCATCTCCCCGACTTCTCCCACCCAACCCTACCCCCATTAACAAAATCACAGAAGTAATGAGCACCCTGCCAAGGAAAGTCCCCTAGAGGAAACACTGATTCAGTATTACATACTTGTGAGCGGCAAAACTTTGTGAACCTTTGCTTTCGGTATCTGGTGTGACCATCCCCCGCCCAGGCAGCAATATCTGCAACTAAATGTTTTTCCGTTAACTGTCAATCAGTCCTGAACACCGGCTTGGAGGAATTTTAGCCCAATCCTCCGTACAGAACAGCTTCAACTCTGGGATGTTGTCCTCACATTAACTGCTCACTTCAGGTCCTTCCACAACATTTTGATTAGATTAAGGTCAGGACTTGGACTTGTCCATTCCAAAGCATGAACTTGTGTTCTTAGGGTCATTGTCTTGCTGCATGACCCACCTACGCTTGAGATTCAGCTCATGAACAGATGTCCTGACATTTTCCTTTAGAATTATTTTATATAATTCCAAATTCATTGTTTCATTAATTATGGCAAGCCTATCTGCCCCAGATACAGCAGAACAGGCTAAAACCATGATCCTACCACCACCATGTTCACAGATGAGATAAGGTTCTTATGCAGGAATGATGTGTTTTCCTTTCTCCAAACATAACGCTTTTCATTTAAAACAACAAGTTCTATTTTGGTATCATCCGTCCACAAAACGTTCTTCCAAAAGACTTCTGGCTTGTCCACGTGATCTTTGGCAAATGGCTAACGAGAAGCAATGTTCTTTTTGGAGAGCAGTGATTTTCTGCTTGCAACCCTGTCATGCAAACCCCATTGTTGTTCAGTGTTCTCCTGATGGTGGACTCATGGACATAAACATTAGCCAATATGAGAGAAGCCTTCAAAGTTGCTTA